AAGAAAACATTTCTTTCAAATATTTCTACTCTGTTGGTGTAATTGCTTTTCCATAACTCCATTTGTGTGTTGTGATTATGGGAAACAGTAAACTGAGGCAAACCTTTCTTCTTGTATTGTCAGTGTTGAGGTGCAAGATCCCAGGAGGTGTACCTGTGAGTATCTGACACAGTAGGTGGGGGATAATTTTGCATAATTTCAATGAGGATTACTTCATAGGAAATTATTCTTCAATTTAATGTACATATTGTAAATATACTTGAATCATGTAAGAAGTAAGTGCTATAAAAACTGAAAACTGCTTTGAGAAGAATGAGAATATGAAACATCTACATATTAGAATATTTTAAATAATAGAATTTCAATAGCTTATTCAATACATTATTTTATACTTTAAAATGATTAATTTATAATATAGAAATATAACTCCTGTCTAGAGAATTAGTTCATTATGAAACTTTTTAATTTACTTTTACTGTTTAAGAATGAAGACTTGAGGACAGTTCCCTAGCACCCAACTAAAGGATAGACATAGCCCAGCATTTAGGGATCAAACACAGGCAGATCCTGAGGATCACTGGCTCATCAGTCTAGCCGAAAAAAAAAAACTGCAGTTTTTAATAATAGACCCTATATCAAAAAATAAGGTTTAATTCATAGAAGCAGATATCAAGTTTATACCTCTAAACACACATATATACATCTGCATGACACTCNAATATAATAGCAAGTAATATACATGCCTGTGAAAGTATAAAAGTAAAATTGATAAATTTTTATAAATCAAATTATTTCAAAATTAAAAAAAATTGCTCTTTTCTCATAGACTTTTCTATGTAGACTTACAAATTATAGTTTTTATATCTTCTCAGAATCATGGTGGCATTTTGTTCAAATAATTCTTTGGGTGTTACATTCACAATGAAAATCAATGGGTCATGTCTAACATTATTGGGAATATATATTTACATTTGGAAGTAACCATTTACTTGAGTAAACAGGAATTGCAAGCAAGCAACTCCCGAAATGTTCAAAAAATGACAGAGACAACTGGCTTCCTGGCCAATTACCCAAAGTTTCATTTGCAATGTTGGGGCAACAAATTTTGACTAAGGCCTAGAATAACTGACAGACCATTTTCAGAGGCAAGAAAAATTTCAAAACTCTTTTACCCTTTTTTTTTTTTTAAATATTTGACGGTCTTTTTTTCTTGTTATCTTGCTTGTCCAGTACAGACACCATGCATTTTGTCAGTAGTTGATGCACGGGCAGTTCTTTTCCCAAAGGCTGGTTTTGCCAGGAAGAAAACAAGCTCCAAATGTAGTGTCTTTGGTGCCCAATATTCTTTTGGGAATAGATCGGTGTTCCCAGGAGCAGTCATGTCTCACATCAAAAGAACCCTATGTAATTTAAATGACATATTTTACGCTTCTTTGAAGTGGTGGAAAATTACTTATCTATGGAGAATACAGTTTTTATGTATCTAAATAATCTGATTAGTTCAGGCACCTTCTCCTCAGCTACCCAAGGAACAAGCTGGGGACATCTCCTTGGATACCGGGGAACCCCTCTAGAGTCAAGCCTCTTGCCAACCCTAAAATGGCTCCCTTAATTAATATATATACTTCGCTGCTCCCATATCCACCCTTCCTCCATCCCAACCATCCCATTCACTCAAGCTCTCCCTATCTTCCCCTTCTCCCTTCTCTCTCCCCATCTCCCCTTACCTCCACTCCACCCCCACCCCCAAGCTCCCAATTTTTGTCTGGCAATTTTGTCTACTTCCAATATCCAGGAGGATAACTATATGTTTTTCCTTGGGTTCACCTTCTTATTTAGCTTCTCTAGGATCACGAATTATAGGCTCAATGTCCTTTATGGCTAGAATCCACTTATGGCCCTATCCTGTAGCCACAGTGATGAATATCTTGCATATCACCATAGAACCTTCATCAGGTGATGGATGGAGATAGAGACAGAGACCCACATTGGAGCACTGGACTGAGCTCCCAAGGTCCAAATGAGGAGCAGAAGGAGAGAGAACATGAGCAAGGAAGTCATTACCGCGACGGGTGTGCCCACCCACTGAGATGGTGGGGCTGATCTAATGAGAGCTCACCAAGGCCAGCTGGACTGGGACTGATGGAGCATGTGATCAAACCAGATTCTCTGAATGTGGCTGACTATGAGGGCTGACTGAGAAGCCAAGGACGATGGCACTGGGTTTTGATTCTCCTGCATGTACTGGCTTTGTGGGAGCCTAGTCCGTTTTGGATGTTGCCTTCCTAGATCTGGATGGAGGGGCGGGGAGGACCTTGGACTGTTCTTTGGACTGGAGAGGAAGGGGGAGGGAGAGGGGGAGGGAAATGAGAGGAGATGGAAATTTTTAATAAAAAAAGAAAAGAAAGAATCTATAAGTATGGCAAACATGGATGACTTTGACCTATAATTCTCAATACCTATATAGCTTAAAGAGGAAGGCTTTGTATTAGAATGCTAAACACTCTTTAAAAAATTGTGAAGCAAATGAGGACAATGACCTTAAATGAAAACAGTGTATAATATCTTGATTGGATGTAGAAATATATAATGCAATATGGTAAAAATATACTAAAATCGTATCAATATACAAAATATCTTAAGCAGAGGTAGAAACATACATGCATGCAATATGACAAAATAACTTTGCATAGGTGTACAAATATTGTAAACAGAAATAGAAGCATATTCAATAGAAATATATAATTTTAGTTTCTATCAATACACAAGAATCTATACCAAGTCAATTGTCTACAAATAATAGCTCACATGTATTTGTCCTATTACACACTATTATTATTAATGTGAGTAAAACCACACTAATCTACCTATTATCCCATCCAGTTGCCTTTTTTGAGTATAATAAAGGGTCCTTTATTTAGGGGTAGACTGCTAGATCAACAGTCCTCTGCATGAGTGAGGAATAGGAACTGAATCCAGCAGCCAAGAGAGATACGCATGTTTGTACATCTGTTTTATAGTACACAAGGACATGCTCAAAGTGGTCTAGCATCTCAAAGGCCATTGACTGAAGGCATTCCCCCAGCAATCTTTTTGTCAAGTTCTTCAGGGTAGTGAAGAGCATTAACAATAGCCTGTAGTGTTTAGAGACTTCTATAGCAACTCTTTGGCCAACAACGCAAAAAAGTAACTCATTTCTGGCACTAGAGATTTTATTTGATACGATGAATATAATGTGTAGTTGGGTCATAATATGGCAAGTAAACTTAAATTCATACACACACACACACACAGACCATTTACTTTAGTCGTTTTTCAAAGGGCATTTCAAAAGACCTTCATGTATATATCCCAATAAATATCATACTTTAACTTGTCTTCTCATTCCCCTTCCCATTTTATCTTTCTATGCTAATTTCATTCTTTACCACTTTATAACATTAGAAGATACCCTACTATATCCAGATCCCTTAGTAGATAATATATATCATATATATAATACATAATATTGCACATTATATTTTAAAGCACTATATGATATAATATATAAATATATGTGTATGCTTATATGTAACAATAATGATTAATATGAGGTCATGAATTTGTAAAGCTGGACATTCATTGTGTGGACTTAGATTGGAAGATGGAAGAGTCACAATGTTGCAACACAGCACTTATATATGTATACTCAAAAACTTAGCATAAACAAGGAACCTACACCCACACACACACATACACCCATACACATTCCCACTCACCCCTTTCTACGTTAGAACAGTACTCTCTTGAAAACAGCACAGCTTTCCAAAATGAGCTACAAAAAATGTAGTTAAATGTTTTGTTGAGAATCCAATCTGCAGGCTACTAATTTGCCACATAGTTTCTTGTTGAAATTTGTGTGTGAGCTACTTCCTGATTAGACCCTGTACCAACTAAATGCAGGAATAAGAACAACTCAATAAAAGGTGTGTGTGTGTGTGTGTGTGTGTGTGTGTGTGTGTGTTAGATATATACAGGACATTATGCTTAGTGGTAGAAGGCATAAACCTGTATAGGGATGACAAAATTAATGAAATCTTTGGATTAAAGGAATTTGATAGTCCAATGGAAAAAGACAAAGTATTAAAATTTAAATAAAATGGCAAGAATGATATGTTTGTCTTTTACTAAATTTTCTTGTGATTGCACATTGCAATCCAAAAGTAAGTAGGATGTGAGTTTATCACATCCCTAAGTTAACAGCACTGCTATGCACTAACAAAGGTTCTTTAGGATATTTCATATAAAACTGGATGCTTTCACAATAGCTTTAAAAACTTGAAAGGACCTAGAAAAAGCATAAAACATCATATGTTATTGAGAAAGTAATTAAATTATATTAATGAGCACAAAATTAAAATAGAAATATATCAACACATATACATTTCTTCTGTAGACAATGCTCATTTTTGAAGGTAGAATCATCATTTCAAATAAATTACTTTAAATCATAATAGATTTCATGGATATATTTAAAATTCCTGGGTATATTTGTCACATGAAGAATAATTAAAAACATAGTAAATTAATTAAGAAATAATTATGCTTGTTTGGATTACCGTTTCCTCCTGCATGATGTGGAGTTTTTGAATGGTTTTTTTTTCAGACTGCAATTTATCAGATTAAAACATGAGAGGTAAATCCATGTAGATAACGCAAATAAATGTATATGAATTTGCATGTTAGCATATGAAACTTCAGCATGTCCTTTATGATCAGTTAAAAAGGCTCTGGGACTGCTATGGAACAAAGCATCTGGAAGGAGCTTAACCCGACTTAGAAAATGCAGTGTTTTCAAGAAGCCAACTGAGCCTGTTTATTTGTTTATTATTACATACAAACCCTAAAATGAGTGTATATGCTGTGTATTTTTTAAAAATTGTTGAGGCATGACATTCAAAATGATTGCATTAACATCTATTCTTCAGAGAATTTAAGAAACTAAACATTCTCATCAGACAATGAGTACTGCTGCACGGGTGATATTTGCAACAATGCTCAATGTGGAGTTCTTAACTGGGAATTTGGGGAATGGATTCATAGCACTGATGAACATTATGGACTGGGTCAAGAGAAGAAAGATCTCTTCAGTGGATCAGATCCTCATTGCTCTGGCCATCTCCAGGATCATTGTGATGTGGACAGCATACATAATTGTATCAATATTTTCAATGTACCATGATTCAGAAGTGACTATGAAAAGCGTAAGAATTAGTAATCTTATCTGGGTAATTTCAAACCATTTAAGCATCTGGCTGGCCACCATTCTCAGCATCTTTTATTTTCTCAAGATAGCCAATTTTTCTTACTCTATTTTCCTCTACCTAAGGTGGAGACTTACAAAGGTGGTTTCAGTGGCATTGCTGATTTCTCTGTTCCTCTTGTTTGTAAATATTTTAGTTACCAACATAGACATACATATTTGGATGGATCATTTGAAAGCAAATGTATCTTACAGCTATAAATTAAAGAATTTTACAGAAATACCTAGACTTCTTGTATTAACAAATATCATGTTCACATTAATACCTTTCACTGTGTCCACAACAATGTTTTTTCTGCTCATCTTCTCCCTGTGGAAACATCTGAAGAAGATAAAGCACATTGCCAAAAGCTCCCGAGATGTCAGTACCACAGCTCACATCACAGCCTTGAAAACTGTGTTTGCCTTCCTCCTGCTGTATGTAATTTTTACTTTCTCTCTTTTTACACAACTTTGGAGCTATGACTTTAAAGAGAAAAAAATTTTCCAATATTTTTATGCTGTTGGTATAATTTCTTTTCCATCACTTCATTCGTGTGTCCTCATTATGGGAAACAGCAAGCTGAGGCAGACCTCTCTCCTGGTACTGTCCGTGTTATGGTGCAAAATCCAAAGATGTGTACACTTGTGTCTCTAACATACTAGTGGGGAAATAATTTTGCATAATTTCAATAATGATTGCTTCATAAAAAATTACTCTTCATTTCAATCTGTATATTGTAAATATACTTGCGTTCTGTAAGAAGTAAGTGCTATAGAATCAGTAAACAATTTTGAGAAGAATGAGAATATGAGACATCTATATGTAAGAATATTTTAGTAATAAAATTTCAATGACTGTAAACTATTTGAGATTTTAAAATGATTAATTAATAATATAGAATACAAATATTGTCTATGAAAATAGTTCATTTGTAATGCTTTTTATTTTAGCTGTTTAAGCAGGAAAATCTGAGGTCAATATGTTGGCCTCATATTGAAATGTAATGAAATAATTTTAATGACTTTGTATTGCAGAAGTAGGAGTAATTTCAGAGTCCAGAGTACTAACTGTTAGATCATGGAACCAGACAGAATATTCCTTAGTGCTTCAGTGGGAAGTAAAATATTAGCTTCATCTAACATAAATTCTTTAAAATTATCTTCACAGTGAATCAATTTAGATTTTTTTTCTCAAGAAATATGTTACAATTCTCAAATGTATACTATTGTTTATTTAATTATTTATATTAATGAGCCTAGATGGGTTCTGTTTGAGCAGCCCCTAGCAGTGAGACCAGGATCTATCCCTATTCATGAGCTAGCTTTTTTAAGCCCATTCCCTATGGTGGGATGTGCAGGCTGAAAAATGAAGGTCCATTTCCACCTTGTCTGATGGTCACAGAGTTTGGAGATTGACAAGCATAGTTGTACATCACAACTAAAGATGTGATTGCTTGGTTCTTTTGAAATTAAGATAAGTCCACACCATTCAGATAGATGGTCAGGACATGCAAACATATTTCTGATTCTTCTTTTGTAACTATGAGGTCACCTTGGGAGGGGTGGTCTTCAGCATCAGTGACTTGATCTAGAGACCTTTGCTATCTAGACAACAGAATGCTAATGATTGATGTCTCAGAGTGATAAAGTGATTGACTGTGAGTGTTATCCTTTGTATAATGTTGATAAAGCCTTTTGTTACCTCCCTCTCCCTTGGCTTATGTTTGGCTGTGAAAAAATAAATGTGTGTGGATTTCAGTAATCACTGGAATACCCTCCTGGTATTATTTTATGTTTTCTGTCTTGTTTTTTTTTTGTGTGTCTTTATATTCTTTACTTATAATTCTTCAATACCCGCACACCTATCCTGGCAAGAGGTGATTTTGTTCATGCCAGTCCTAGACAGTGAGATGTCTTTATCAATCTTCATGTAGGAAGGTAAGGTTGGTCCTTCCTCAACTTAATGTCCCAGGATTGTTGATTCCCATGAAAAGCCTTTCCCTTTCTGAGGAGTGGGTGGGGGGTAGGTTAGGAGGGAGTTAGAGAGGAGTGAAAAGAGGGGAGAGAGAGGTAACTGTGGTTGTTATGTAAAATGAATAAAAAATAAAAAATGTAAAAGAATTAAAAAATTGGGATTGAGTAGAGAATGGTTTTTGGAAGACCTAAGAGATGGGGTGACTATGATTTAAAGACAATGTTTGAAGTTCTCTAGAAATTCATTAAAATACGTTTTTAAAGTGACTTGTACAATTTCCTACACAAGCATTTTCCCTGCAATAGCTAGTAATGGGCCTGCTTTAGAAAGACAGTCACAGACTGATTTGTTTCCAAATGCTGAAGTCTTAACCCTCAGTGTGGCTGTATTTGATGATAACCATTTAAAGGCTATCAGTAAAATTAAATGAGGTTATACATCAAGGTTCTAATCAGAAGAGACTAGTACTCCTAGAAGAGCAGAGGCTTCAGAAGTATGTTGACAAAGCATAATGCTCTGTGGAAATGTGTCCTTCTACCATCTACTAGAAAAAGCCTCACAACATCCAAATCTGTGGCCTCTTGATTTTCATGTATATCCTCTTGAACTATGAAGAAGCAAAGCTTGATTCTCAAGCTAATATGAATGGAATTATGCCACAGAAACTTATAGTAACTAAGAGAGAGAAAAATTTAGGATAAGGAGTAATGCTGAGGAAATTAAAGAAAGAAAGAAAAAAATGTACAAATCTTAGCACTGTATGAGTCACCAATAATGTGATCTTAGTACCTATATTAGGTTTCATTTAAGATTCTAAGTAAAATTAATAATACTATACATATATTTCATGTTTAATCAAACATGAAATTTTAATTGATTATAATATTCTTTAATAATGCTTATTAACAAAAAATCTGCATATTACCCAATAGAAAAGTTGATTCATTCAAGATAATGATAAAATAGACAGAGACTTTGCCTAATTTGAAAATTAAACCTGACATAATCTAAAAATGATTCAGAAGAAAATGTCAGAGATGTGAACAAGTGTTTGTTACAGTTAATATTCAAGACTTGGAGAGATGGCTCAGTAGTTAACACCAAATATTGCTAATGCAGAGGAGTCAAATTTTATTTTCAGTACTCACATCAGACATCTCCCAATTGCCTATAATTTCACCTGCAGTGGACCTGCTGTCTCTGACTTCTTTGTGTAACTGTATGTAGTAAGAGGAGCGGGCTGCTTTTCATCCAGGCCATCCAGCTAGCTTAACCCCCGAAATAACCACATAGAAACTGTATTAATTAAAGTACTGCCTGGCCCATTATCTCTAGTCTCTTATTGGCTAACTCTCACACCATGATTCAATCTATTTCTAATAATCTGTGTATCACCACTAGGTCGTAGCTTACCGGGAAAGATTCAGCATGTCTGACCTGGAGGCTTCATGGCAGCTCTCTGACTCTGCCTTCTTCCTCCCAGTATTCAGTTCTGTCCTCCCTGCCTATCTAAGTTCTGCCCTAACTAAAGGCCAAGGCAGTTTCTTTATTCATCCAATGAAAGCAAAAGATAGACAGAAGGACCTCCTACACCATTTCCCCCTTTCTGTTTAAACAAAAAAGAAAGGATTTCACATTAACATAGTAAAATTACATATATCAAAACAGGTATCAAATAAGAACTACAGTTATAATATTTATATCTATTTTATCTTTTATCATAACAAAGGAAAACTATAACCTATTCTTCAAGTGCATCAAAGACTTCAGAAGGATAAAATATTATGTAAGTAAATAAGAAGTAAGCAACTCCCAAAACATCTCTCTGCCTGGATAGTTAACCAAAGATATTCTGTACTGTTGGGGAATCTACCTTCAAACTTCAGGCACATAGTATCCAGAAGAATTTTCCATGAAACAGGAAATTTCAAAGACAGTTCAGTCACTTTCTTTTGTATCCTGTAAAATCTCTCACAGACTCTTTAATGAACCAGGAACTCTGAAGCATCATCTCACCTTTAGGCAAGTTCAGCAGTCATCTCTGTGGGTACTGCATGTCCAGTGAAGCAGTCCAGACAAGAGCAGTCTCTTGCCCAAATGGCTAACCAAATCCATAAGGAGCCCCTTCGATGCCCATCTTCCTCTTGAAGTAGCTGGTGCTGCCAGGAGCAGATGTGTCTCATTGTCCTGAAAAGTCCTAAGTTATTAAAACATGTTAAATGCCATATTCTGTAGTCTTTGGAAGATATGAAGAATGCCTATCCAACTGAATATTTCTATGCATATCAATAAAATCTAACTAACATGACTACAAACTTGACTATTATAGATGATTATCTATTAACCTATATTTCTTAATGTATATTACACTTTTTAAATGAACTACATAATCACAATATCTTAATCAAAAGCACAAATATACATATAACAAGATTGACCTTAAATTTATATCAATAATGCAAAATCCATATCAATACAAATTATTCATCTCTATATCATATCCCCCTTTAAATGTAAAAGAACATGTATAAACAATATTTGGCAATATGGGCACATTTTTTTCTCTCCAAACTGCTTTGTGCTGTATGGGGACATTGTTAATCAGGACCTTTATGGTGTATCCTTTGTATTAGGTTTATCTCAGTCAGCAGTTGGGTGAAGTCATGTTTTGAGGGTGTTTATGGTGACCTTTCAGGAGGGCATGGTCTATCATACCATATTGGTCTAGAAGCAATCCACAGGGTCTCATATTCTGTGAAAACAAAAGAAGAATCTCTTTTCCAACACATCATATCCTTAGAACCAAATTCTGAAGTCATAATACCTTTACAATATACATGCTGGTTTAGCTTAGCAGCCCACACAATGAGGTATGTCTCTGTAGTTAGCTCCTTTACAGTAAAAAAATTTTAAAGAAAATGCAATAATATACAGAACCTAGACTCTCTGTGAATTTTCCATTTTTACATGGCTTATCATTTTTTTTACTTCTTTTAATCTATGATTATCTTTATTCTGTCTCTTTAAAGACTTTACCCTTTTTTAAAGCATTAGCTTTAATTTATGACTTTCTCTACTCTTTTTGTTCTCTCTTTCAAGCCTATGTACGTTTATCTAACAGTATGACCCATTTAGAGGTTTATTATGTCTGAATCTGTCCTATTACATTGTTTTTAATTCTTTACTGTCTTGAAGAGCTTTTAAAATGCTAAGCAGCTTGGTTGCAGCTGCTCTGGGCATTGGCTCCACCTTTCTCCAATTTCAAAATGGTGGACAGACCATTTCTGCTAGCTCTGGGGCCACCAGGTAAGAGCCACACTCAGCACTTTAATTCTGAGAATGAGCTTGGAGCACATACACTCTTTTTATCTTACTTACAGCCAAATCTGCCACGCAGAGCACTGGGAAGCCTGGAGACATCTCTGTGTATGGCTGTGGGAATCTGCCATGCTCTCCTGCCTGCCCAAGCCTGATCCCAATGTCTGCCCAGGCAGAAAGAGCTGAGCCACAGGTGATCTCAGATACTTTCCTCCAAACCCTGAGTGGGCACAGAAACACTAGGGCCTACAAATGTCATTGAAATGCTTAATAGCTGGTGTTTTTACTGGTGGCACAGCCCAGGAAGCCTCATTTTAAAATGGTTAAGCTTTTTTTTCCTGCTATTGCTGAGTCAGGAAATC